TAGATAGATGTGTGGATAGATAGATAGATAGATAGATGTGTGGATAGATAGATAGATAGATAGATGTGTGGATAGATAGATAGATAGATAGATAGATGTGTGGATAGATAGATGGATAGATAGATGTGTGGATAGATAGATAGATAGATGTGTGGATAGATAGATAGATGTGTGGATAGATAGATAGATGTGTGGATAGATAGATAGATGTGTGGATAGATAGATAGATGTGTGGATAGATAGATAGATGTGTGGATAGATAGATAGATGTGTGGATAGATAGATAGATAGATAGATATAGAAATAGATATAGATATATATATTATAATATAACATTGAAGCTTAAAATCTGCACTACTTCAATCCAGTTTTCAATCAAATAAGAATAAGAAAATAGAAGTATTTAATAAAATTGGTGTTTTTTGTTAGTTATCACTTCTTTTTAACACTTTTTTTATTAAAGCAGTCTGTAAAAACATGTTTATCGATAAAAGTTAATCAATGAATATTTTATACAATTTCCTATTTAATTTTAAACTCCCTATTTTATCACTATGTACATAATTTAAAACTTGTAAACGCCTTTTCACGTATACATATATTTGTGGATCTGTATATGTGTATGTGTGTGTAAAATTGCCATATATATATGAAATCATTTTAACCCTTAAAGATTACTTTTAACAAAAAAAATTTTAATAGTTGGAATCATGAGTTAATTGAAGCTAGACAACCATCGAAAACGCAAAAGCACTGAACGGCCGTTTCGTCGTAGTATGGAAGTTCTCAAAAATGTACATCCATGATCCCGCCTCGCGAGATTCGAACACAGGACCTATAAGTCTCGCGTGCGAGAGCATAACTTCTAGACCACTTAGCCAGCCGGCATCCAACGGAGTCAATATTCAACTTCAATCAATCCACGAAGTTGCGCTACCGTAAACCATTGTCTTTAGTGAGTTGATATCTCACAACAGACCTGGTTGAACTTCACTGATAACAGCTTCTCACTAGAACTCCAGGATATGCCTCTTGAAGTCAGTCACTAGTGAGCAGATGATTATTATTAGAAGGGGTTTTGTGGAGATTTTTAGAAATTTCAATGGTTGAAATCATGGGTCAATTGAATTTAGACCACCATTGAAAATCTGGAAGCACTGAACGGCTGTTTCGTCCTAGCTTCAATCGACTGATGATTTCAACTACTGAAAGTCCTAAAAATCTCCACAAAACCCCTTCTAAAAAAATTTGTTTACTCTTGAGAAAAAATTCAATATTATTCCAAATACACTTTGAATTAAAGCCTGTTAATAATAATAAGTTTACTTTACCATATATCAATCAAATGTAAACTGACATATTTATACTACAATGATTTTATGATTTATATCTAAGATGAGAAATATTAGTGTTAAGTTAATTTGAGATTTTCTTAATTCACACTTGTTTAGTTTTACATTGAATATATGTACAAATGTATGTAGAAACTGTCACACCTTAACAACGCTATTAAATTTAGAAATGTGAAAAATTGACTATAAAATAGAGTTATACGGAATCGATTAATGATAAAAGTAAAGTAGAATTAATAAAGAAAGCTTAGTATCAAAAGTGATTTTATGGATATTATAGTAATTTTAATAGTTGAAATCATAACCCAATCGAAGCTAGACAACTATGGAAAACCTAGAAGCATTGAACGACAGTTTCGTCCTATTGTTAGACACCTCAGCAGTGCGTATGCACGATCCCGACTAGCGAGATTCTAACCCAGGATCTATCAGTTCAGCGAGCGAACGCTTAACCTCTAGACCACTCAGATAGCCGGCATCCAACTGTGTTAATGTATAACTTCAACTTGAGAGACACATTCACCTATGCCTCCAGCGTGTTACTATCTCACAACCGACGTTGTTGAACTCCACTGGTCACTGCTTTTCACTAGAACTCCAGAAAATAAGTCTTGGAGACAGACACTAGTGATCATATGATGATTATAATCATACAAGAGTCTTGTGGAGATTTTAATAATTTAACAACTGAATTCATGAGTCAATTCTATATTATTATATATACTCTGTATATTCTTCTCAACCACCTAAAGTTACTATACCTAAAACTTAATGAAATATCTTATAAAATCTGAATATCAAAAGATTTTTTTTCAGATATAAAGAACAATTACTACTCATATAACACTTCAGATTGACCGATAACTTAACAACTGATAGAAAGTACATTGACAGATTAAAGCTGCTATTTCATTCATTTATTGATTTAAATAATCATAGGTTCAACTACATACACTTCTTTCCAATGAAAGCTTATCCATCAAAAAACTTTGTATTGAATATATATTTTCAAAATGTCAAGTGGAATAAATAAATAAGTGAAAAACACTATAGTAACATGATAAGAAATAATAAAATCAATGTTTAATTTTTTTAAAAAAAGCATTGACACTATAATTTATGGACGACCTTTCAGCGACGTTAGATTTTCAGTCAGTCAGTCAGTAACAACGTAGAACTTCGTACGTATGTACATCAGTTCAAGTTGGCATACCATATTAACACTGAGATAAAATTGTCTATTTAAATTCCATCATGGTAGAGGTGGTAAGAGTATAAGCAGTAATCCGAAAAATTAGTGTTTGAAGATGTTATTAAAGGAGTATAATCCAGCGAAATAAATTTGGAAAGAGAAAAAAAGAAAGGGACATGAAAAATTCAGAAAATTACAATTTGGGAGAACACAAAGAATGGATTCATCTGCACCATTGCAAACAATTTTGAGCCATGTCATTCAAGGTCTCTAACCATCGGTTGCTATCGTTTCATGGATCCCAACCGGGTAGTCTACACCTACCAACATGGCTCAGTCCACTTGTCAGTGACTTCATGGACTTCTGCCATGTTTTGATCTGGCCGCCCCTAGCTTTCTTCCAACCTACTCCGACACCATAAAACATCGCACGTCGAGGAAGTCGGTCGTTGGGCATGCGTAAGATGTTTCCCAGCCATCTCACCTGGTGAAGTTTCACTAATTCATCGATTGATTTGCCATTCTTACCTACTATCCGTTTCCTAACAACTAAATTACTTACTCGGTGGTGCCAGGATATATGAGCAATGCTTCGAAGACAATTATGATCGAATACTAGCAACCTACGAATATCTTCTACTCTTACTGGCCATGTTTCACTGCCATAAAGTAGGACGAAACGAACTGCTGTGCAGTAAACACGTCCTTTGGTTGGAAGACGGATATCTCGTCTACGCCATAAATGACGCAAGTTGGCAAAAGCTAGTCGAGCCTCCTGTATCCGTGCTGAGATTTCGTCACACACCAAACCACAAGGGCTGATGAGACTTCCGAGATAAGTACTTCTTTGGTACTCCCTTCAGTGACAAACACTGCCATAGAACCTCACGATCAACAGAGTCAAATGCCGCCTTAAGGTCGAGAAATACTACCATTGTGGGGCTTCTGAATGTGTGTCTATGTTCTAGGACCTAACGTAATGTGAATATTTGATCAATACAACCACGTCCAGGTCGAAAACCAGCCTGGTTTTCTCTAGTCTGCTCTTCACGAGCTTTGGTTAGACGTCGAAGTATTATTGAAGCTAATATTTTAGACACTATATTAGTCAAACTAATTCCTCTGTGATTGTCACAGGAGGATTTTTGTCTTTTCTTATAGACTGGTACAATCAGTGATTGAGACCAGTCAGATGGGATTACGTCCAGTTCCCAGATTCTACCTAAGACATCAGTCAATCTCGCTGCTAATACTGGACCGCCATCCTTAAAAATCTCATGGGTAAACCTGTTAGGGCCTGCTGCTCTCTCACGCTTCAGATTTCCTATAGCTTTTTCAACCTCGTAAACAGTCGGAGGACTTACATCAACTTGCCATTCAGGTAGATTGGAGATCGTGGGAAACCGAAGTGTGGCTGAAGGCCAGTTGAACTGATCCCTAAAGTATTCTGCCCATCGGTCCAATCTCCTGGATTGAGAATGAATAATATGTCCATCTTTCTCTGCGATTGTTTCGCTAACAGTTGGGTTCCTAATACCGGTTTCGTTAACAAGTCTGAACAGTTGCCTGCTGTTACCTATTGCTAGAAAATTAAAGTGTCATTGGATATAATATTTTTGTTTGCATCACTTGATTTCAATTGTAACATTTCTCAATCATATTGTTAAACTTATAGCCCATTATTGTTCAGCTCACTCAATTTTTTATTAGCAAAAGAACACTTGCTTCAGTTTAGCCCCCAGTACTAAGAATAAAAGTAATACGACTTTGGTGCAATGTGAAATGAATGAATATTTATTTAACATTTGGAAGTTTTCTTAAGAACCATTGACCAAACACTCTGGTTTCAGTGGGTTATATTCAAATGTACTCTAATGGTTGAAAATTTCCATAATAACGACTTTAAAAATTCTTTGCTTTGGTTGATTCCATTTGAATTTTCATAACATACTGGAATTACCGAGTATTTTTTGCCTCTCAAGTACCATTATATGTATCTTATTAAGATGTTAACCGTTATATCTTGATGAGTATAATGAATGATAACTTTTGGGATCCATTTATGAACCAATACTATGTGTATATTTTTATCGTATAATTGTTAATTAACTGAACTATTCATATTCATGTCCCTCTTATTATCAGCTTTATTTTGACTTAGGAACTATTATTATACGATTTACCATTCTTGAATTATACCGTCTATTAATTACAGTCGCTCACATTCACAGACAATTTTGACTTGATTTTGTACAAATTTTATTTTCTATTTTATGGTACGATGTGGCCTGTTTGGTTGGTATATAAACCCAGTATGTTTGTAATACATGGTTTATATCACAGAGGTTGAGAATGGTGTTCTGGACTTAACTGGCTCGACTAGGCAGGAAGCAGGACCGATAAGGACTCTAAACTTCTCGTACGGGATTTTATGTGTCATTGATCCGGTCAATAAATCACTGTTCTCTAATTGGCAGTATTATTACGTTATACATTCATAGGACACAGGGTAAAAGTTATAACATTAACCAGATTAAAATATTTATACACAAATGATGGTTACATATTTACGTAATAAATTTTTTTTAAATTATGGGTTATCTTAAAATTCATTTATTTTTCTGTTCAATTTGTATTATATTCCAGGGTATTTTACTACTTATCAGCTCTTCAGTTTTAGCAATTCTCTTAATATTGTTTGTTGCTATCAAACGAATTCATCGTGTTCATTTAAAATCGAATCATTTTGAATCACATGTTCAAAATTTTCAAATGACATCATTTGATATTAATTCATTAAAACAAATGAATAAATTTCAAGATGGAAGAAAGTTAGAAACTAGCGCTGAAAAATTAAGAAATTCAAAATTGAATGATTATAATTCTCAAACGATAATAAATGATCATCATCATCAACATCAACAACAACAATATGAAAATGAACAGAAAGTTCAACCAATACGAATTACACCGAATCCATTTGTTAATCAATCTAATATGAAAGAATATGAAGCAAAAACTATTTTGTTGGATGAAAAAGTATTTTAAAATGTTATTTATCAATTATTAATTTTATAAAAACGTTTTCATGATTAAAACACATGATCATTCTTCTGAACATGATAGAACATAGTCAGTGGTTGGTTACTTACTTACTACTGTTACTCTTAATGGAGCATAGGCCACTGACCAGCATTCTCCAACCCACTCTGTTTTGGGCCTTCCTTTCTAGATCTATTCAATTATTGTTCATTCTTCTCATGTCTGTCTCCATTTCTCGCCGTAATGTGTTCTTTGGTTTTCCTCTTTTCCTTTGGCCTTGAGGATTCCATGTGAGGGCTTGCCTTGTGACGCAGTTGAATGCTTTCCTCAATGTGTGTCCTATCCACTTCCAGAGCTTCTTCCTGATTTCTTCGTCCATTAGGATCTGGTTTGTTCTCTTCCATAGTAGGTTGTTGCTGTTAGTGTCTGGCCAACGGATCAGAAGTATTTTGCGTACACTGGTTGGTTACCAAAGAACAACTATTGAGACCGTATTCTTGATTGAATTCATTTAGTTCAAATGAATTAGATTCTCGGGAACTACGTCTAGATTTTAGGTGGTCGGAGATTTGATATTGTTTGTTTGAATCTTTCCATTGATATTTAGGACTGCGATTGATTAGTCTCTTGTTGGCATATGTGCATTCTATGCGGTCTGCCTCGACATTGTCTTAGATCACAAGCCTTATAAGCAAAGATGAATAGTGGCTAGCAGTGGAATCCAGGACGCGCGTTTCGTCCTATTCGGGACTCGTCGTCTGGATATACCTGCATCTCAGAGTTGATGTTCACTCTGGGACTCAAACCTAACTCAACTAAACATTGTCACTTACTTTTGTTAGCTATTATATATGAAAATAAATAACTAACTGACTTGGAATTTCCAAACAAAAAGTGAGGAATTTAATTCTTGAATATTCCGCTTCAAGATTAAAGTAGTTTTTACAAATTCCAATAATTTAATGTGAATAAGTTTTCCATATAGTTTAATTCAATAAATCATGTTAGAAATATTGTGGAAAGTTTTAATGACATCAAACTTGCTGTTGAAATTGCCACAGCTTAATTCTTATAATATAGAGTTATTCAGATAATATATAGTAAGGATTTAACATTAACACCGTTGAATGCTGGCTCAGTGGTCTAGAGCTTAAGCGTTCGCGCACGAGACCAGTATGTGCTGGGTTCGAATCTCGCGAGGCGGAATCGTGGAAGCGCACTTCTGAGGAGTTCCATACTAGGACCAAACGGCCGTACAAGGCTTCCAGGTTTTCCATGGTTGTCTAACTTCAATTGAGTTATGAATCCAACTATTAAATTATATTATCTATAATCTCACATTAATATATAAAAGTACGGAGTGATATTCAATAAATTCAGTGACTGAATTATTCTCATTTGAATCATTAATGGTAATATGTACTTAGTAGTATGTAAACATCTTATTTTCAAGCTGAATATTTGATTGGAACAGCACACATAAGCATACAGTGTTGTTTTCAATTAAATCTTCATCAAAATTTACTCTAATATACAGTAATATTTATATGAACTTAATAAATATTAATAAATCCACAGATAACAACGTAACTCAACTTAATGAGTAATAAGTATAGATTGATGGTTTAATGTCGGATGTACTCAGTGATTAGAACAATAAAAGATTAAATAAATATCTCGAAATAAGAAGTTGGTCAAAACTTGGAAAATATCGACATTCGATTATTCATCGTTAAGATCTATTATCTAGCTAAGAAAGATACGAGGTGGGAGTGGGGAGGTTTCAAACTTCTATAATAATGATAAATGTAAACCGTAAATTACTCAGAATCACCTTAATTTTATTTATCAACTAATGTCTGTCCAGATTTAATATTTAACACTGTGTTATATAATAGTAATGTTTAACTAACATATTTTATTCTGTTTACTTTTCAATATTTCTTCATAGCGTTATGATGCCTCTTTGAATATGTCATCATCAATATATAATAATCTTAATAGTGGATCACCAATTGTATGTAATCCAACAATTCAATTATATGAAAATCCATTAAGATCTGATGAAGAAGATGATGATGATTTTCAATGTTCATGCAGTGAAAATAATACTGATGATCATGTAAATTTAAATAATTAATTGAAGAAATAAAAAATAATTCTAATTATGAAAATGAAAAGTATCTGAATGAATTCAACAAAGAAGGAGATGATGTAGAAGAAGAAGAAGAAAAACAACAACAACTCATATAAGACAACATGGACACATTGACTTTCTTTACTGTACTCATTTGTTTCTGATAATTATGGTAAATGATCTCTATAATGGCATTTAGTTTAGGCTTATTTTTCATTCTTGTTAAGTCAATATGTTTACTTATTATTTATTCATTTCATTGATCAAGTTACTTATCAAATTTCCTCTTTTTTCTCAATATTTTCAATATGTTCCCTTATCGGTGATCTTGGTCGTAAAAAGAAAAAAATTCTCTATCATCATTTATTGTTTGCCCTTTTTACCCCCTACCATCACTACCACCACCCATATCTGTATTACTCACACATTACATTTTTGCACTGTTTTCAATATTTTGGTAATCATAGTCATACATGATTAGTTTCAAAGTACCATTCACTATCTGCATGGCATTTATTTGTTATTTAAAAGCAAAGAACTAATTTTTTTCATTTTGCTGGGGTTGGATGTTCTTTCTATGAAATGGTTAATTAGTATTATTTATTTTAATCGTACTTTTATTCATGAATTTAGTTGTTCAAATTGTTTAGTATTTGTTTCACTATTCTACAAATTTTCATCGTATCATCAAATAGATATACATAAACGTATACATCAGTTCATTCTTGTTAGTTATAACGCTCAATGAGAAAATGCTATCATGAGTTTGTCCATGTTGAATCTTTCTTCTAGCATCCAGCTGACGAGTCCCGAATAAGACGAAACGCGCCTCCTGGATTCCACTTCTAGCCACTATTCATCTTTACTTTAAAAGCTTGTGACTTAAGGCTATACCGAGACAATCCGTACAGGATGCACATACGCCAACATGAGACTGATTAATTGCAGTCCTAAATAACACTGAGAGCTTATAAGTAAAACAACACCAAGTGAATTTTACATATTTACTTTTTATGCGATTTGATTGTGTTTCAGTATCTAAAAAATTTAGCCTATCATGATGATGAATCTATCAAATTAAGAAATTGAAATTAGGTGAATCAAAAATAATACTGCAAAATAAATACAACTGATCAGTAAAAGACTAGTCATCTAGCTGATATTAGTCATGGTTTTGATCATTGTTATGTAATTTAAGTAAGCAGTACCATATTTCTGTTATTTTTGGATGTACTGCTAATCCAGGATTACAGGTAGAAATCACTGAAGTTCCTACAGCCCAGTTACATGATTTTGAATATTATCGAAGTTATTCAACAGCCTATATATCGTTAAATTATAAGATTCATTGATGAGAACAAGCTATTCCATGAAGTGCAATATTGATACAAATAAGGCAGACCTCACAAGAAACTGGAATAGCTAAGCAGACTGTTGTGATAAGAACATACCTGTAAATGCACTATTTACCGATCTCGCTAAAGTATGTGAGGATTATCATACTCATGAAGTGAATGCAAATCAGTTTCACAGGTGTAAAACGAGGAATTCAAGCTCTCAAAATTCTGCAACAAGATCGATTAAATTTAATTCGACTGGATCAAATCGATTGTAAGGATATTCCACTCTCAGTACACTATTACTGAATATCTGATAGAATGAAATAAAATCTGGGTTAAGCTTCACTTTTTAGAAGTCAGCTTTGTGTGTTGACTGCCAAATTATTTTTAACGCTGTTTATGACCTGATTCCTACGTTTACTGTAATGAAATATGACGGGGATCATTTGGTACCAATTCATGGTAGTGCAACAGACGTGATGACAGGTTACAGAAATAAAACATCTGAGAATCGCACACAAGGCTGAGACTGTTCTTGCTAGCATACATATGATAAAGAGCTACTTTTTCATAGCCTACATGTTTTTAAGTAGTTTAGGTTACCACAGTAAGGTATCAATACTTTAAATTTACCACAGAAATACCAAAGGTAGCCGTTGAAGAACTCAGAATTAAGTGAACATTCAGCTGAGGTTTAATTTTTGACCATAACGAGTCTTTGTTACCTGAAACGCTCTTCAATTGATGTGGCTGAAATCACCGTAGATTTCATTAAGAAGATGAGGGGTACGTAAATGCACACTCGTTTACTGTCTTCATTTGTTTGAAGCAATGAATGAATATATAAGGCAAGGAAACATTTTATCGATTAGTCTCGCTTACCTCTATTTACGTGGATTGGGTGTACAATGCCATGGTGTCTGATGAATAAATACTCAATCCATATCCGTGTATGCTCATTTTAGAGGCAAGATCTGATAACGTATATGGATATCACTTATAGATTAATTAGGATACATTATATATGAATCATTTTTCTTGCCTATCTTTGTTTACTCTTCTACTCGTTTTTCTTCTGTCAATCATATTTCCCTTGCAAATCGATCTATAAATATCTTGAACACATTGACTAAGTGGTACTCTGAACAGTTTGGAATCATTTCAATCTAATGGAAATTAGTCTATTATAATGAAAAATTTAACTTGTTTCATACTGATGTTGTTACTGTTAATTCTAGTGCAAATATTGATTTACTTTCGATTTAGTTACTAAGATGTCTAATTCCGGTTTCTGTTCAACACTACTAATACTTTGCTTCAATAGTACTCATTGGGTCCCTGTACACTTTATTTCTGTTTAATATTACTGAATATAACAGTTAATAAAATTGATCAAATACACATTACTTAATCCATCCGTCTTAAATGATCAAGCTAAAAATATTGAACAACATATATGTTTTACCAGAGACAAGTAAATGGATATCAAATTAATAACTTGGTCACTTTGAGAAGGCTATTCTACTATTGCAAACTTTGTTAAAATATGTCGTCTAACTGAGCAATTTTACCACCTATATCATACATCTACGAAGCAAATTCTTTTGCTTAGTGAATCACTGACAAAGAGAAGTTCATAGAATGCGTAAGTGTTCGTACCTATATTGAAGCTCCGAAAGAACTGAAAAATGCACTTTTAATGCTTAAGACAACGAAACACCATCAAAGAGGCAATAATGCCTTGAATTCAAGAACGCAAACACGTTGATATCCTTAGCAGTGATTTGAGGACTGATGTTGATACGATAAAAAGAGCTCTGGTAAAGGGGAGAGGTGAGGGTATCCCAGAACAAGTGATCAGTAAGTTCCTAATGTCTTACAGAGTTACCCCCAATCCGGCAGTACCAGAAGGAAAGTCACCAGCCGAGTGTATGTTCGGAAGAAAAATTCGGACAGTCTTCAACAGTATGTTGCCACCTAGGAAGACAATAAAACCGATGAATGAGTATCGTACGATCACTCGTAGCTTCCAGGCGGGTGAAACGGTACTTGTCAAAGCCTATCAAGGAAATAAGAGATGGGAACCAGGTGTCATAGAACGTCGAATCGGAAATGTACTGTACCTAGTCCGGAAGGGTGTCGGAAAATGCATAAGACACATAAATCAAATGCAAACAGACAGCAGTACAGTGGTCCCAGGAAGCCAGCTCCCATTTCAATCGCTCGTGGATTCACCTCAGAAAAGCCATCATGAGCGCGAACATAGAGGAGGCAAACGACGCAAGGGAAAAGTTGTACAACCCTCGAGAGTGATGGACCGTAAGAGGGATGCGGCCACAAAGTTCCAGGTGGATCCGAGAAAGAAGTCTTACACAACGGACTTTAAAGGAAGGAGGTGTGACGACGGCCCACGGGTGAACTCGAGGAAGCTATAAGAGGCTCAGAAGGAGCCGAAGATATTCCATCCAATCACCGTTAGGAAGGATATTCTAGAATCCCTACGTGTAGCTTCCCGATTGGACAAGGCTAATAACCCCCTGTATGCGGATTGGAGGACTATAATGATGATTTTTGTTCTTACTAAAACTATAAATACCTGATAATTTGTACCCATAATTGACACTGTTTAGAATAACATTCCTTTCACTAGTCTTCTGTCTTCTCTTTGCGACTTGGTAGGGTTTGGGCGTTCGTGTGTTCAGTTGTACGCGTTATATCAAGTAAATCAACCATTTCTAGATATAACAGTCTGTTCCGATTTCGATTGTTAATTCTAATACTAATGACTGCATTCTGGATAATACAGAGTTTTTATACAATACACTGTCAGATAGACAGAGGATGAACTTGAGAAGAAGACGTACAATCAATCACAGACACTTAGACTGCAATTTAAGCTGTGGCGGATGTGGTGTTTGAATCAACTAATGATTCATCTGTACTTGTGGAATGCTTGATTTCGAATTATAATACAGTACATACGTTAGTGCTTGTCTAGTACTTCTTGATTCAATTGCATTATTTCTAGGATTCTAAGTTCGTACTCCTAATCATCATAGAAATACTTGAACATTCTCCCAGGAGTCGGAGTATCGTTCCTTAAACTAGTTGAGCTGCAATGTATGCTATGTCAGCCTTCACTGCATTGCGAATATAGAAAAAAACGAGTAGAAGAGCACTAGTGCACAGTGAAACGTCTGCAGCTGAGAGTAAAGCTTTAAGCTGTCATTTAAAACGTTCTATCAGCCAGTCTACTTGTGGGTGGTAGAGAGTCGTTCGGAATCAAGTGATTCTTCATAGTTAAGTCTGGCAACGGAAAAGTCCAGATTCGAACTGGCATTCATGGTGTGAAGTGGTAGTTAACGGGCAGCCGCAGTTTCTTGCCTGCCATTCCACTAGGCGCGGTCCACCGTGTCAGCGGTAATGTCCTTGATTGGCACTTCTTCTGGCCACCGAGTGAAACGGTTTATACAATTAGAGAGATAAGAGTACCCATTTAAATCTCGTACAGGTCCTACCAAATCCAGATGGACATGGTCGAAACGCGCTTCAGGAGTTGTGAATGAGACAAAGGGACATTTGTTGCGTCTAATCACGTAGATTTCTGGCAGTTTACGAATGAGCGTTCCCACTCTCTCATATTGTTATTCACACCAGATCAGCGAAACCGTTCTACTACGAGCATGGTGATTGCACGAACGCCTGTATGAGAAAATTTGTGCAACGTATTGAAGACGTTGTATCGACAGTGTCTCGGCACTATTGGTCGACCCTGCCTGTAGATTCGTCGCATAGTAAAGTTTCCTTACCTGTGCGCACCTGTTTGTTACGCGGTCTCAGGTTTGTGGAAAATAACTAGTGCTGACGTTTACTGTCTTCTTTTTGAGTCTGAACGAAATTGAAAATGTTGATTCCTTGGAAACTGTTAAGGTAAGTTAAACGAGACTAAGCGTCTGCAAATACATTTTTGCTCCAGAAATGTGTTGAATGTCTGAAGTAAACTGCGGAATTTGTCAAAACTCTTGAGAAAAGTGATCGTCTGAATATAAGCTCAAAGAGGTGCGAGGCCTATGGTCGATAAACAGAGTGAATTGTCGGCCTTCAGCAGTGTTGAAAGTGCTTCACAGTACAAAACATCGCTGGTGATTCCTCACCAAAGGTGTCAAACCCCGGTTCACTGTCTCACAACCGTCTGGGGAAGAATGTCAAAGGTTTCAATGTGTT